TAAATGAGAGGTGTTGGATTCATATTGCCTGATATATCTTATGCTGTGCCTTGACTGTGGAATATATAGAAATAAATGCTTTTGGATGGAAAAGGCAAGAGGGATGATCGAATGACTCTAGTGCAAAGGCCAGCAGTGTAGAAGGATGGACTGTGCCTGTGCTGTCTCTCTGGAGATCTGCAGGGTTGAGGGCAGGGCCTCAGATGTTCACTTGGATACCCCAGCAGCCACTGAAGGCTGTTTAAGAAAGCCCTGCTACAGGGCCAGCCCGGTGGCACACTGCTACAGTGCGCCGCTTGGGAGCCAGGCAGCGCTCCCGCCGAGGGTTCGGATCCCACATACAGACTGGTTCCCGCTCACTGGCTGAGCGAGGTGTGGGAGCAACACCGAGGGTTGCGATCCCGTTGCCGGTCCCGGTCCAGTACGGGTGCGACACTGAGGGTTGCGATCCATTGCCGGACACGAAAAAAAAAAAAAAGCCCTGCTACAGTCACTATGACAGTCCAGGTTTGAACCCCAATCCCCCCTCCATGAACCATGGGTTGTCCCTCTTGCTTATCCATTGTATTGTTACCAAATTAGGCTCTTGGGTCCCAAAGTCGTAGAAATGAACAATGCACCCAGCAGTAAAGCAAGCAATGCTTTATTAAAAGAGGAGATAGACATGCGTAAGAGGATAGCTGCAGGAAAGCTAGCCCCCTGAGGAGAGCTGTTCAGGGTCTTTTATAGGGAAAGAGGTTAAGGGGTACAGGCCAGCATCACTGGAGCTGGTCCATTCTGGTCTTCCTGGGTGCATCATGGGTGCATGCTCAGTTAGGGCTTTGGTCCTTGCACCTGCTCAGTAGGTCCAAGATGATGGTGTTGTCCATTTTCATCACCCCAGGAGGGTCACTGTAGTGGTCACCTTGAAGCTTTGTGTGCATGCGAGAATTCCTAAAGGGTTCTTAAGGTTAATCTGCAACTTAATTTTTACAATTATGGTAAACAAGACTTCGGGAGGGTTTTTGCAACTCAGTGAATATCTGTTCTCCTCTTATCTCGGTTTATTTTTCAGGGTGGGCCACAGGGTAATCAGGTGCCCTGGGGGGTCTCACGACTGAGGACTGGGAAAGTAACAAAGTGTCCTCTGCAGGGAGAATGGAGTCAGTTTGGTTCACAGGCCTAACCCTATTCTGTCTCAGTATCAGTTATCTATTGCCATGATAATGCCACATAACAAATCATCTGATGCAGTAGCTTGAAGTGTTGGTTATTGCTCACAAGTCTATAGGTCAGCTAGAGAGTTCTGTTGATCTGGACCAGGCTCGGCTTGTCTCCATTGGGCTCACCAGTGTGTCATGGTCAGCTGGCAGGTTGGCTAGGGGCTCACTGGTTTAGGGTGGCCTCACTCACACATGGATGGCTGTTGGCTGGGGTGACAGGCATGATGGGTTCCATGTCCTTCATCATCCAACAGGCTAGCCTGGGCTTTTTCACATGGCTCTTGGCGGGGCTTCAAGAGAGAGAGAGGAGAAGCTGCACATCCCCTCCTGAAGCCCTGCCATATTCTTCCACCACATTCTTCTGGCCAAGGCAAGTGATGAGAGCAGTCCAAACGCAAGGGCAGGGGAAACATTTCACATCTTCACAGAAGGAGTGAGAAAACCACAGTGCCCAGGGCACAGACCCAGGAGAGTGGTGGATTGTGGCCCCTTGGGCAACACAACACACCCATGACCCCTGTCACTTACCTCCATTCACCTTCAGAAGAAGGACGCTGATCAGGCAGCAGATATTTTCCCTCCCCTCCTATGGCTATTTCCCCTCTCACAGTCTCATGTTTGATTCTAGAGGCAGGAGAGAGCTACTGAGAGTTCTTAAGAAAGTAAGGGGACCAAAGGAAAATGGATTTGGACGAAGATTTTCTTGACGTTCAGGGGAGCAAGTACCTCTGTCTGAGATGAGCAGGAAGGCAGGAGAGAAGGAGACACTCGAGGCAGTGGGAACAGAGCGTGCAAAGGCCAGGGTGGTATGAACAGCAGAAGGGAGCCTCCATTCATTGCTTGTAGTTAATTAGTGTCGCCTAATTAGCAACAAAATGTGTCTTTCCATCTGTTCCTCTGGAGAGCCCAGGACATTCATCTCCCCATTTAAAGGCCAAAATTAAAGATATGGAAGCATTATCCATTGTCTTAATTTGTTCAAGCCAGTTCACATGCATTTGTCCCCAGCCTTTAGTGAGCAGTTTTAGGGAAGGCACAGGCAGATTGCCTTCAAGGAGGGGAGTGGGTGGCCCGGTAACAGAGGGTTGGTCTTAGCCCTGGACCAGCCTCCCTCTCAGTGTGTGCATTGGGCAAGCACTTTGCCCTTCTGAGACTCAGCTTTTACATCTGTGAAATGGGGCCATGCCTTCTCATAGCCCTACTGTGAGGATTAAAGGGGCCGAGGCTGAGTGAAGAATCTGGGAAGGTGCAGCTGCCCAGGAACGGGGCTCAGCTCCCTCCTGGTCCCTAGTCACCCACACATCCCATGGGACTGCACACACGGGAGGCCCTCAATCATACGTCTGCATTCCTCACAGATTGTGGTGAAGGTGTAGACTATTCCAGGGAAGGCCTCAGGCATGTTTCAGGTCTCAGAAAGAAGATCTTGTCGGGGTTGACTATTAACAAATTAGTGCTCAGTCAAATTAGACATGGGATGGATTTTTAGACTTTTACTTAAATATTTATTTGCTCAGCGTGATCCAAACAGCAAGCAAGCAAGCAAGCTAAATTTAATTATTTTTCATTAAATTTCCATCTTAAAATATATGTACATATATATAAAGTATATGTGTGTACTTTATACATGATATGTATTTGATATAAATATATATTTAAATATAAAATATTTGGATGTACATCTAATGTGCTAGTATATACTACATATAAATATATAACTATAAATATATAAGTAGGTATAAGTACATATATACTTAAATATGCACATTTAAAGTGCTTATGAATCAATATAAAGCATATGTATATTTCATTAAATAGTATTCATATGTGTGGGCTTCCATGCTGTTTTCTCAGCATTTTAGTTAGCATTTTCCTCAGCATTCGGAATAAAAAGTAGCCATGAAAGCCATGTCCGTTATAGACCCTCCTGTCAAGTTAAACCATAACTAAGCACCTTCTCAAAACTCTTAACTGTGTTTTCCACAAAACTGAAACAAGTAAGGTAATGGTTTGCTCAGCACTGTAAGTTTTCACACATCTTTTAACTGCTGACCTCTGCAGTGACTATGGAATTTACTTGTACGCAATATACAGATTTCATTCCTGTTCCAAAAGGAATTTTGGGTCCATGAGATATGCAGCCCTTATGGAGGCAGGGCTTACTTTTGCTCACATAGAGAAAGAAAACGTCTGTGTGTGTGTGTGTGTGTGTGTGTGTGTGTGTGTGTGTGTGTGTGTGTGTGTGTGTTTCTCAGTCCTCAGAAGTGATTTTTAAGGGTGGGTGCAATCACTTTGCTTGTCCCCAGAGGTACTGCTGTACTGAACATACTGAACAGTACACTAGTTGACACTGTAGAAACCAAAAATTCCTAGGGCTATGCAGCCAATAAGTCCCATCACCCGTATCTCCTTATTGTATGCCACATTTGAAACTTGAGTGGAAAAACTGGTCCTCCCTGTCCTGTCCCTCCAGCAGGCCATGGCCACACTATTATTTGACCCAATCAACACTTTAGCTGCAGCATGGGCCATTCAAATGGCTTTTCCAGGGTTGGGACTAATGGTTTCAGATGACTTGTACATTGGAATCTTCTACATCTTGAACTCTGGGGGTTAAAACACAATCTTCTGATGGGTTTAGAGTTTGTTTTGGTTCTCTTTCACTGCTCAACAAACCACCCCAAAATGTAGCAGCTTTAAAACCAACCAACAGGTATTTGCTCACAATCCTGTAACCCGGGCAGGGCTCAGCAGGGACAGCCTGTCTCTCACCTCGTGCTGTTGACTGGGTGATTTGTCTGGGTCTAGAGCACAAAGGTAGCTTCTCTCTCTCGTCGGACACCTTACCCAAGGTGGCTGGAACCGTGGTGTTTGCCACATGGCCCCATCCATTTACAGGCTAGCCCACATGCCTCCACGTGGCACCTGGCACCAGAGAATAGAAGGGAAAACGACCAGCCTCTTCAGAAGTGGCACCTCATCAACCTCTGCTGCTTTCTATGGGTAAAGCAAGTCACCAGGCCAGCCCAATCCAAGAGAAAGGGAAACACATACAGAAAGAGAGGGTTGTTTGGATCCCTTGATATACAGGAAAGAGAGCGCAAGCAAAAGGGAGAAAATGAGTGGAATCCCAATGTCTGTTGCAGAGAACATTCTAGAACATGAGTCCTGAGAAGGCCTTGCTCAGAATTGTCTTAAAAAGATCATCTAATGCTTTGGGTTCTTAATCTGTGGATCCTTGAAATTGTTTGCAAAAGTCTGCTTGTTTATTCCTGGATGAAGGTGGGGATCTATAGCATTCAATATGTCCTCTAAGGAGGCTATGATCCTACAAAGGTAAGTAACCATTATCCCCTTACTGACCAGCAGCACTACACTCCTGTGTACTGAACCAGCCTTGCAAATAAGTACCTGCCCACACTTCTAGTGCTTCAGAAAAATCAGAGCTGTTCTAACAAGCACAAACCTGTTTCATATTGTGTTTAGTTTTCATAGGAAACCTGTGTGCCTTCTGCAGAAAGATACTTCAAAGTAAAGATCAAGTTTTAAGGCTGAAAATGTTCTGAGAAGCCTCTTTATGGTAGAAACAACCCAAGATCAAGAAGGCAACTGGGGAGGCGGAGAGGGCAGAAAGGGGACATTGGGATATACACACAGAAATTTGGGTGGGCCATGTGCTGGCTCAACACTAGCTGGATCATGGAAAAGAACTAAATTGTTTCCAATTGAAAGAATTTGAGAAAGCTCCTCCAAATTCTTTTGATGTTTTATCGAACTTGTCTTTATTTTTCTCCACAGCCATGGGACCCGATGTGCAGGAGAAGTTTCTGCCGCAGCCAACAACAATATCTGTGGGGTCGGAGTGGCATACAACTCCAAGGTGGCAGGTAAGCCGTCCCTGCCACATGGCAGGTGCTAGGATGAGCAGCCAGCCCCGGCAGGTAGTCTCTCATGCTCTGGTCTCCAGCCTGGCCAGGGCCCAGCAAAGATTCCCACTGGGGCAGCAGACTTAGGATCCATAGATTTAGCAAGAGTGAAAAAAAAATTTTTTTAAACCTGCACAACCCTATCAATACATTTCTTTTAATTTTAGTTGGAGTGTAATAGAAATACAGAAAAGTGCACAGATTATAAGCACACAGTTCAATGAATTTGCACTGGCTACACCCATGTAACCTGAACACCCAAAAATAACCACGCTCTGTTTTCTAACAGCAAAAACTGGTTATTTCTAGTTTTTGAACTTTGTATAAATGGAATTATACAGTCGCTTCTCTTTTATATCAATGTCAATAACATTTTAACGAGAATCAAGTATAGATGGTAGAATATAAGGTGTGTACCAATTATTTGTAAACATGCTCAGAACGCTTCATCATGGTTTGCACACTGGATCTCATCTTTAAGATATATTCTACCAAAAACCTTGTTATTGAGTTTCATTGTGTAACATATTTAACAATATCCTCTTTATGGGGGCTTTAGAAGTAGAAGTTGCAGGTCACTGGAAATTTAGAAACCAACCCCCCCCCCCCCACCACCACCACCAAAGAAAAAAAAAGCACAGAGAGAGAGAGAGAAATTAGTAAGCTTCCAACAAGAGGCCTGAGGATGGAATGGCTCTTGTCTCATTCCAAGTTTTGCATCCTATTTGTTCCTAATTTATTCAGGCTGAGTCACTCAACCTTGTTTTTCTTTTCTTTTTTTTTTTTAATAACAACTGTCTTGATATTATTTTTTTTCCTGGCAATTTAATGGAATCATAAACCTACTTTGTGCTGACACTTGAATTTCCTGGGACCTAAATAAAGCAAAAGTAATCTATACAAACCCACCATTAACCTCTTTGCTAAGTGGCTTGCCTGAGCTGGGTGCTGAATTTCACAAAGAATACATCAGGAGGTTTCTGAAATGTAAATAGAGGAAGCTTTGCCCCTGGAGTTTCCGCTCTCTTTCCGTGCATTCAAAATGCCGGCATTAAAATGTCAGGAGCCAGTATGAGCTCAGGTTCATATTTTATAAGCCAGGCTCCAACCCGGGGTGGTATCAGAAGTGAAGCAGCTTCTCTGTTCACAGGGCAGAACTGGAAGCAGCTGAGAAATTCATACCTGAATTTCTCCTTCACCATAATTGTCTGCAAAATAGTTGTGAAGGCCCTGCTCACCCAAGGTAACTAGTTTTTTGAACAAAGGAACTTTTAGAGCCACTGCCTGCAAAAGTTAGTGAGGGGCAGATGGTAGGTTTCTGGAAGTTCTCGGAGGTCCCTTTTCCCATCTGCTGCTTTTCTCTTTTTCTCTTCTGTCTTATTATTTGCACTCTGAGCTGCTCATCAAATGTACCTAACTCTCCTGCTTAGTTTGGGTTCCCTGAAAGCAAAACCTGAGACCATGTTAAGGTCAGGAGGGGTTTGTTAAGGGACGCCCCAACCCCTCCTGACCTTTAACAACCAGAATGTGGGTGCAAGCAGTTTATTTAGGAGGTAGACCTGGGAAGCCAGAGTGAGGGAAAGGGGAAGGCAGACAGCGAAGGGAGGGAAGGGAGCGGTGGTCAGCTGGTTATTCTCGTGGACGACAGGGGCTCAGTCCTGCAGGCGACCCTCTGAGGGACTGTCCCCCGAGGTGCGGAGGCTGGGGAGTTGATCCACCAGCTCCGTCGTGCATTGGTCGGGGACGCGGGGCGGGAAGCGCCCTCCTCTCTCCAGCCTGTGCAGCCCACGTGGGCTGAGTAGCTGTCCCCGGGCGGAGACACTGTCTGAATACACGACCTGTGCGTCTGCCAAACCCGCGGACAGCTCCTGCGTCACAGCAACGCCTTGAGGTTCCAGGAACGAAGGACTGAGCCGGCGGGAGGCGACCCCAGCACAGGAAGCTCCTGATGATGGAAGCCTCCCTCCCGCCTTTCCCGCTCCCTCACGTGACCCAGCTGCGCTCATCGGCGACCGCTCGCGCCGCTCGTCACTGCGCGGGGCTGGGGAGCTGGGGTGTCCTCCCGGCTCCCAGGAGAGTCCGCCCAAGTGCCTGAGGAAGCGCTGGAGAGTTACTCGAGAATTGCAAATAAAAGTAGCGTTTCAGGCTCTTCGGCCCATCAGATTTAGGGAGAACATTTTATTCATTCTGGCAAGCAATTGCAAAAGTTGGCTGGTTTTTTAATTCTTCGCGAAAAATGAGCCAAACCCTTCCAGAGAATCAGTCTTTCCTTTCAGGAGCTCCCTGAGTTAGGGAGGTCTAAAGCGCCCCCTGGTGGCCGACGCGGATCATTGCTGATCCCCAACAGTCTCCAGGTGTCCGGCTACAGGTGAGGGCGGCGGGGGCAGCGCCGTCCCAAGCCCTGTCGGGAGTGTCTTTCCACACTGGCTTCCAAAAAGAACCTAACGTTAAAGTGCTGTTGAATCTTACTTCAGAAATAAAGAGCAAAGATGAGATTATAAGTAGAGTCCTCTGAAGGGAAAAAAGGAAGAGCGAGCACGGAGCATGGTTGCCTGAGTCCCTCTTCTATCCATAAACTTGGCTCGTTTTTCCATCAGGGTTCCTGTCTTTTTCTTGCTGATTTGTAGGCATTCTTGGTACGTCCTAGATTTTAGCCCCGATTCATTTGAGTCAGTGCAAACATCTTCTCCCAAATTTTCGTATGAGGTCACTAGTCCATCTGGGTTGCACCTTTATATGTGGTGTTAGTGGGGGGTCCCGTTTTATTACTCTCCAAACAGTGAACCAGTGTTCCCATCTATTCAATAACCCATTCTGTCCCTGTGATTGGTGGTACCACCTTCATTGTATATTGAGTTCTCCTGGGTCAGTCTCTAAGTAAATAGAATTTGGATAAAAACTCCTAGCAGATGAAAATTAGAAAGTGTAGCCATGTTCCTCCCACTGGAGCTTTGCATATGCTCTGCCCTCTGTCTGGAACACCTCCCCTTGCTCACCTGGCCCCTTCTCTTCATCCTCCAGCTCTGAGGTCCTCCACTGCTTCCTCCGGCATCACCTCCCCAACCACATTTTCCTCATCCAAACTTGGTAAAAAGCACACCCAGTGTTTCCTTCCCAGCACTCACTGCCATTGGTTATTGCATATTCTTGTGCATGGTTATTTGGTCGATATCTTCCTCTCCCCAACAGACGACAGTCTCCATGGGAGCAGGTACCATGTCTGTTTGCTGTCACCTCAGCATCTAGAACAGGGTCTGGTGCTCAATGTATGCTCAAACCCTGTTTGGTGAAGGACAGAAAGTAAGGAAAGAAGAGATGGAAGGGCTAGTGAATAAGCGGTAGAGATTAATCGTGGCATGAAAGAATGGGTGGATGCATGGAATTGAGGAATTAAGGATCTAAGAACCCAAAGCTGATATAATTTCTACCCAGGAAGCAAAAGCATCTCCTCTTCTACCAATACCATCTCACCTTTGCTGCTTAATCCCAATCAAATCAGTTCCAAGGACACCTCAGCCTTCCTCATCCTCCTCCTTCTCTCTCCCTCTAAAAGCCACTGTGGTAATGTCCTAAGGGCCGGCACCACCTATCAGATCAGTAGGAGCTGCCCAGGGCCCAGCAGTGAAGACAGACTGGTGACCCCTTTGCACGATGCCCTAGGCTAATGGAGCATCAAGATCATGTGTCATCCAGGTGTTGAGAACAGAGAATCTCAAAATCCTGGGCCTCAAATGGGACTTAAAATGGTCCAAACACCCCATGTTACTTACATAATTATAACAACAGTATAATTAATAACAATAATAATGATAATAATTAACATCTATTGACTCTTACTGTGTCAGACACAGTGCAAAACCCTTCACTCATCTAACCCTCTTACAACCCTATCATACATTGTTATGATATGTTATATATGGCATATTTGTTATATATTGTTATTCCTCTTTTACAGAGAACAAAACTGAAATAGGGGTGCCATACAGCTAGTTGGCTAACAATTTATACCTGGTGCCAACTGGGCCCATAATTTCTACACTCGACTCCTGCATTGAAACACTTTAAAAACTTCTCTTTCCCACCCTGCTGATGTAGCCTGGATGGGTCTGGAACAGCACATGTTCAGTGATAGGAAACTAACTCCCTTCTGTTAAGTCTGTTCCACCTTTGGACATGTGTGACTCTTAGAAATCTCTCCTTTAAGATGAACTCTCTCTGATTTCTGTCACCTGTTTTCATGGACACAGTTAGTGCCGCCTCTTCTAGATAACACCTGGGCAAGGAGAGAATTCCAACTAGTCTGGCTCCGAGGGAGTAAAAGTTCTATAATGTGTAGACCTGTATATATGGGGATGTACCAAAAGTCTTCGTCTTGAATAACTTAAAAGAAAATTACTTGAAGTTTAATTATTTACATTTCCTTATCCAGTTACTTAATTTTATACATTTTGAAAAGATCCATTTTAATTTTTTTTATTTTGAGAATGCCTTTATTCAAGTAACTAAGCAGATAACCCAATTCTTTCCTTCTTTTTTAAAATTTTTCAATCTATGTTTGGATTCCTCAATCAAAGAGATTGAGACAAAAAATTAAAATTCAAAAATGTGTTATTCAAAATTCACAAAGCCAAATAAATATACAACAAATGTAACAAACCTTCCAAATGATGTTTCTTACAAATTAGTCAAATTTACCTTTCTGAAAATACTAGAGGTCAAGACTGCACCACACCTTTTGGACAATGCTGTCTCCTGCCTTCAGTCCATTCATGTAGTCAACAATTGCTATGGGTGCCCACCCTGTGCCCAGTGCTGCTATAGGTGATGTGATACACAGTGAGCCAGTAGACAAGGCGTCTGCCCTCACACAGCTTACAGTCCAGAAGGAGACACTAACAGGAAGCAAATAAGCAAGATAATATCAGATAATGATTTGTGCTGTGAATGGGAAAGTAAGGGTTCAGGGACAGCAAGAGACTTGAGAGTGGGGCTGTACAGTTCCACACCACTCTGGACGTCTGCAGAGATGCTCCGAGCAACCCAAGGGTGGGAGCAGGCCAGGTGGGTTTGGCCTTACCCACCTTCCTTTTTAAACCAGAGCATACAGGCTTTGGGACGAGATTGCCCTTCAATTAAAGATTTTTTTTTTTTTTTTGCTTGAAGTTTTTTTTTTTTTATTTTGTCAATATACAATGTAGTTAGTTATTGTGTCCCATCACCAAAACCTCCCTCCCTCCTCCCTCTCCCCCCTCCCACCCAGATGTGTCCCCTCCATTTTCTCATTGTAAGAGCTTAAAAAAAAAAAAAAAAAAAGTTGAGGTTGTTAAATCTTCCTCTCCCCCCCAACAACATCAACAACAACAACAACAAAAAAAAAGATTTTTTTTTTCCTTTTTGTCTTTTTTACTGACCGGCAACGGGATCGCAACCCTCGGTGTTGCGTCCGCACCTCGCTCAGCCAGTGAGCGGGAACCGGTCTCCACATGGGATCCGAACCCTCAGCAGGAGCGCCGCCGCACTCCCAAGAGGTGCACTCTCCAGTGTGCCACCGGGCCGGCCCACAATTAAAGATTTTGAAAAGAGTTTGAAAACCACACTGATGACCATTGTCAAAATACCCTGAAATTTCTCTACCAGAAATGAATTGCTTTTATATATTGTTATCATTATTATTATTGGCCAATAAATCTCATAACATTTCAGTGAGTTTACACATATTGCATGTGAGTTTTGAAATAAATCAATAAAAATCACCATGAGCACAATTAGTAACAGGAGTTTTTCAGATCCTAAAAACCCAGATGAGCATGAACTTGCTTCCTAGCCTCCAGGGATATTATTCATGAGCACAAAAGCTGGTAATTACAGACACTGAGGTGTGTGGGCAGAGGTAGCATTTACTGGTGGCAGGCACAAGCACCCCTTTTGTAACAGGAACAGAGGCAGAGGATTTAGCTCAGATCCCCTGGTCTATACAGTCTGCAGAGCACCAGGGCTAGCCACAGTGAATGCTGTGCAGGTAGTGGGTAAGGCTTCTGAATAAATGGAAGAGGGACACACAGAGTTACCTCTGGTCATTGTTGCAGGATGCAAGCCTGCCTGGGGGGGCGGGATAGAAACACTTGATGTGCAGTCTGTCCTCACCCATCCAAACCCATCAGTCAATAGAGTATTTGACACACGTGAAGACAGTGACTCCTAGCTCCTTTGGCATCCCTCTCTCCCTCTGCCTTTCACGCTCTCTCTGCATCCCCTGTATCTCCTAAAGCATCCAGGGATAGAGAGGCCCTCCTTAAAAATGCTCAGGTCACCGTATGCCTCTGTCTTGGCTGCTAATGGTGCAGTCGCTTGCAAAATTAATACTGTATCCCATTCAATTAATGCATGCCTCATTCCTCCTGAGCTTAATGTGATTAAAAGGATGTCGGGCACCTGGCCCCTGAATATGAATGAGAGCCTTGCTCCCAGGCCGTGGCTGCCCCTGCCTCCCCGGATGCTAATCCACTTCAGTCTGATGTTCTTGTGCAGCACAAAGGGAACCCGTGAGGGGATGAAGAGGGAAAGAGGCAGAGGGTTCAAGGCACAGCTGGGTGCACCATGCACAGGCTCTGACAAAAGTCCAGGGTGGCTTGTGGAAGGCCAGGGTTGAATATCTCTCACCTTCCAGTTGAGGTGGGTCATTCCGCCCTGGTCATCTGGGCACCAGACAAGTTCAAGACCATCTGAGCATTCTCCTGGCAGGTGAGGGGCTCTGTCTCTGTGTTTATTTCCCACCCACACAACTTCGTACAAAAAGAAGCTGCACTGTTCAGTTTACTCTGTGGCCTACTGGCCACCTTTGTTGAATAAATTTTTTACATAAATAAGATATAGATGGACCAAATACAAAATGTAGAATACTAAATTTCATACCTCCTTATGTAAAATGAACCATAAAATTTAGCTTCTGAAAAGTTCAAACCAAAGACTAGACTTATTCTGGACAAGCTTCCTCCAGGAGAAAGGACATTAACTGATATTTGGATGTTCACAGACAAAAATGGTGGCCTGGCTTATTGGTTAATGGTAGAGGCTGGACCTGTTATTATTTGCTCTTCTGGACCTGCTATTTCTGTTGGGGAAAAATCAACTTAATGAGGTAATAATGCCAGACATTTATTCACCAAATGTTTATTAAGCTTACAATAAATACCAAGAAACATGCCGATCCCCAGGGACACAGCAGTGAGCAAAATAGACACATCCCGTGCACTCAGAGCCCTTGCCGTCTGATGGTGAGTGAAACAAGCAATGGCAACAGAAGGCTGAAAGTGCGTTGAGGGGTTGAAGCACGAGGGGTGGTGCACGAGCCATCGAGGAGGAAGGAGGGACCCTGGAGCCTCCTGAGCTCTGAAAGCAGCAGACCCTCAAGAAGAAAGCAATTTCACGTCAACTTCCCATGCCCTGCAAGAACCTGAGTGGCCCTTATTTAAACTGACTTGCATACCACATTAGAGACATACTCATGAAATAACGTCCTTGACCACGGGAGACAAGGAAGGAGTGTCAGGATCCAGGTTTTTTTTTTTTTTTTTTTTTTTTTTTTTTCCGTGTCTGGCAACAGATCGCAACCCTCAGTG